GCTAAACAAAAACTGCCGGTGACACGTCCACTTCTCACGAGGGTGGGCACACAGACTCTGTTACATCCCTTTGTGATAGCTGAAAATGCACCAGCAAACCTGCTAGGAAGAGATCTTCTCATCAGACTGGGAGCCTCGATTTTGTGCTCTTCTGATGGCCTTGTGGTGAGCCTACCAGATGGTACCTTTCTGGAGTGTGGACAGGTCACAACTACACACTCACAGTGTGTGATACAACCCGTCCATGATGAAGATGTTGACATCTACTGGGGACTGCTTGAACCTGAGGTCATGGGTGGAGGGGGTATCTTTTCTGCTTTCCTGGCGTGGAAGCCTTGGCTTCTAACCTTGCATCCGTTCTCAGCTCCTCTGGATCCCCCACATGTCACTCTCTTTTATGACCGCAGAGGAGATGAGGTGTTCCAAGACCACTTTGCAGAACAACTGGCAGGGAAAATCTGGCCGATTGAGAGTGGTAATATTATTGTTGGCAAGGAGGGTGTAGCTGCGCTTGTTAACTTGACTACAGAACAGATGGGGTGGTACATGATGAGCGCAGAAGTGTAGATGAACAGATGCTGGGATATATTCATCATTTAACGCGGGTTCCTCATTTTTCTGGACTGAATAATACGTGCATTGAATTTAAGGAAATGCAAACGTGAGACGTCATTTATATTTGACCCATCAAAATGAATGCGGTCATTTATTTACAGAATCAAATTTAACATCAAACATGTACATTAATTTGGCAAATTATGAAAATAACAACAAAGCAATCAATCAGGAAAAATCATACGGCCATGATTTTTCCGTTGCTGCACCAAAGACATTTATGAAAACTGTACAACTATGATCTTTTGCCCACATGAATGTGGGTGAGCATTTTACACAGACATTTCTAAATATCTGGAAGAATTTCTACTTGATAGAAGAGTTTAAAGATGGAAAGAAGTTTAGAGGGAGTTAAGATGGTATGTGAGGGAAATTAAGTGTTCACCAGAATCGACACTCTCCGGCTTTCTTCAGCTTTTCCCTACAGTACACTTAGGTGATGAAATCGGCTCCTTTACCTGGAGATGTCTCAGGTGAGATTCCGTTTAACGCACCCTTTCAGCGTCTCAGTAGGATGCTGTTACTCGTCCGAAGTAATGGCGAGGCTCTGTTCGACACATATTCACCTCAGTGGAAAATGTTATAATCCCATGGAACTCGGGAGAGCTTTGTTGTCATGTCAGGAACTCCAACAGCACTCAATCAACTTCAGAACTCCAGAACTCTAGAAGTCTGACAACTCTCCAACTCTGTGACTCTGAGTCGTAAGTCACTCTGTGTAGACCAGGAAGTATTGACATTTTAAAGACTCTTTCCCGGTTCACTTTTTGGGATTTTTCATTGGTCAGAAACGACCAGAAGGGGTGTGTTTTTGTGACGTAATAGGTTAGAGACAGCGAGAATTGTTATGGGACAGCTCAGAAATGTTCTCACAGACCGAGAGGGTTTGTTGTGGCGTGTTTAAGAAACAGGTGCAAAACATCTCTATTTACGTCTGAGAGGATTCTAAAACATGACAGTTTTAACATAACAACTTGTTTTTCGTTTGACTGTAACCTTGTAAACGCACACACTTGCTCATTCAAAAGCAGAAATCAGAAAAATGCATAATTACTCTGCAACAGCTTTTAACATGAGTTCTAACTTTTGCATGAGAATAAAAATCATTACTCAGTTAATAAAATTGATTAGTTCACTGCAACATCTAAAATGGTTTGAACTAAGACACTTTGATTATCAACATTTGTAAGATAGTAATGATAATAAAAAGAGAGTGTTCTTTTCACTTGAATCTTCAAGAAAGAAAGTCTCAGGATGGGTGAACCTGTATTTATGGATTCAAATACATGAAATGACAGCTTCTGTCCCACAAGGTTCTAAAGGTCAAGAGTTTTGACCTTAGACTGGGTTTCGACGTAGGCCTAGTCCACTACAGTCCCCCCTTTGGAAATCATCACCTGTCCATGGAGATGAATTCCAACTATGGACTTACGTCGTCGATTGTCCTTGAAGCTTGATGTAATCCAGCAAAGAAACAAGAGTCAAGAGTAATCCAGCACGGAAAACAAAAGTCAAAAGTAATCCAGCAAGGAAAACAAAAGTCAAGGTAATCCCACAATGTTCTTGGTAATTCCAATGTGTTGATTATAATTCCATATCGTCTCGATAATTCCATTGTAGCAATGCTTTAACCCCTTGGAAACAGAGTCTGTAATCCACTGGAAAAAGTCATATAATCCACAATGGTAAATCCACAACGATTGGAAGTGTTGATTAATCAGCATACAGAGGGGTACCCTTGGATTGAACTGAAGAAGCGGCCACCGGATGAAGAGTGGAGACCAACGTCAGGATTGCAGGTCGCCTCCAGCGAAGGTTGTCTCCAGCGACGTCCAGCCCGTGCCGTTCTGGTTCAATGTGTCATGCAATTATGTGGTTTAAAGTGGGCTTATGAAGGGGATTTTACATAAGGCCTTAAACTATATGCACCTGGTGCGTAAGCTATTATGGTTGAGAACAGCTACGACTACCAGTTAAGGGGTGGAGCATGCTGAAAAGGGGTAACTACAGGGGTTTAAGCCTATAGAAAAGGGTTCCAAACTACTTTTCCATTTCTAACTTGGGTTAAGTTAGCTTTACATGGCAAAATATAGTTTGGTTCAAATGTCTGTTGTCTTTTAGACGAACGACTTGAGATTGGTTGTTTGGTTTCCCCATAAATGTTTTGGAAGTCTATGGCGAGACTTATCAAAAAGAATTAGCTATCCCCCCCGAATAGAATTGTTCGAGTAGGTTCGGCTTAAGCGATGTGAGATCAATGTAGATTATGGTACTTAAGGTAACAATAATATACATTGACTCCGCAAGGATTGCAATTTAATGAATGAACTGCATGTTGGCATGGTTAAAGGCCTCTTAGTCTCTAACTTAACTTACACACAAGATACATTCTTACCTCAGAAACAACCAAAATCAACTAAACAACGTTTCAACACCGACAAGAGTAGTGACTAAGCATCTAGAAACATCGTTTCACTGCTCCTCCTCACCCTGGTTGTCAGTTTCAGTCGCGCTGTCCCGTGTGAGTGGCTTCTTTGCGGACCCGCTTACGCGAGGCATA